ATTGATAATTATATAGTAGCTCATATATATTGAGTAATGTCTATCTGATAGGCCTTATTCTAAGTACTTTATGTAAGTTAACTCATATTTTTTTTTTGAGACAGAGTCTCACCCTGTTGCCAGGGCTAGAGTGCCGTGGCATCAGCCTAGCTCACAGCAACCTCAAACTCCTTGGCTCAAGCAATCCTTCTGCCTCAGCCCCTGAGTAGCTAGGACTACAGGCATGCGCCATCATGCCTGGCTAATTTTTTTCTATATATTTTTAGTTGGCCAATTAATTTCTTTCTATTTTTAGTAGAGATGGGGTCTCACTCTTTCTCAGGCTGGTTTTGAACTCCTGACTTTGAGCAATCCTCCTGCCTTGGCCTCCCAGAGTGCTAGGATTACAGGTGTGAGCCACCACGCCTGGCGGTTAACTCATAGCTTTACAACAATCTCACAAAGTCTTCCCCTTTATATAGATGAGGGAACCGATAATCAGAAAAGTTAAAAACCTTACTCAGAGTTCCTGCAACCCAGGAAACAGAATGTGGTGATTAAATGGGGAGAGGTTTCTATCTCCTTCTGGTTATGTACACTGTACATATTAATATATATAATTTTTATTTGCCAATATACCTTAATAAAGCTGGGGAAATATTTTAGAAGAATATAGTGGCATAGAAAAGCAGTATAATAAAAATATTTTAAATTGACTTTATTTTTGTAGAGCAATATCAAATTCACAGCAGATTTTAAAGTACAGAGTTTTTAAATACCTCCTCCATTACACATCCATCCAATCAACATCCTGCAAGTGGTACATTTGTTACCACTCTCTCATTGTTACCACAATTGATGAACCAACATTAACACATCATTATCACCCAAAGTCCATAGTTTACATTAGGGTTCACCCTTGCTGTTGTGCATTCTATGGGTTTGGGCAAATGTATGCATATGCATTCACCATTACAGTATCATACAGAGTAGTTTCACTGCCCTAAACTCCTCTGTGCTCTGCCTGTTCATACTCCCTCCCCACTAACCCTTGGCAGCCAAAGATCTTTTTACTGTCTCCAGAATTTTGCCTCTGTCAGTATTTCATATAGTTGGAATCATACAGTACATGGCCATTTAGACTAGTTTCTTTCACTTAGCAATATATTTTAAATTTCCTGTATGTCTTTTTGTGGCTTGATAGTTCCTTTCTTTTTATTACTGAATAATATTCCCCTGTATGGATGTACCACTGCTTGTTATCCATTTGCTTATTGAAGGACACCTTGGCAATTATGAATAAAGTAGCTATAAACATTTGTGTGCATATTTTTGCATGGACCTAATTTTTCAACTCATTTGGGTACATATCGAGCAACATGATTGATGGATTTCATGTAAGAGTATGATTCATTATGTAAGAAACTTCCAAACTATTTTTCCAACAGGCTATACCATTTCACTTTCCCATGAGCAATGCACAAGAGTTCTTGCTGTCCTATCTCTTGCCAGCATTTGGTATTGTCAGGATTTTGAATTTTATCTTTTCTAGTAGGTATGTAGTGATACATCTTTGTTGTTTTAATTTGTAATTCCTTAATGACATATGATGTGGAGCATCTTTGCATATGCTTATTTTCCATCTGTATGTCATCTTTAGCAACAAGTCTGTTCAGATACTTTACCAATTTTTAACTGGGTTGTTCATTTTCTTGTTGAGTTTTAACAATTCATATTTTGGATAGTAGTCCTTTATTAGAGTCCTCTCCCTGGTCTCTCTCTCTCTCTCCCCCTCTCTTTCCATATATATATATTTATTTTCCTGTTAGTCTATGGCTTGTCTTCCCATTGTCTTGATAGTGTGTTTTGCAGAGCAGAAGGTTCGCATTTTAATGAAGTCTACCTTATCAATTTCTTCTTTCATAGATCATGCCTTTGATGTTGTATCTAAAATGTCATCAATAAGCCCAAGGTAATCTAGATTTTCTCCTATTTATCCTCTAAGACTTTTATAGCTTTGCATTTTATATTTAGGTCTGTCATCCATTTTGAATTAATTTTTGGGAAAAGTGTAAGATCTGTGTCTAGACTTTTTTTTTTTGAGGGGGGTATGTGGTTATCTAGTTGTTCCAGCACCATTTGATGAAAAGATTATCTTTTCTCTATTAAATTTGTTTTGCTGTTTTGTCAAAGATCACTTGATTATATGTGTGGGTCTATTTTTGGCCTCTCTATTCTCCTCAGTTGATCTATTTGTCTTTTCTTTCAGCAATGCCACATTGTCTTGATTGCTTTAGCTACAGTGAGTCTTGAATTTGGGTAGTGTCAGTCCTCAGACTTTGTTCTTCCCCTCTAATATTGTGTTGACTATTCTGGGCATTTTGTCTTTCTATATAAGCTTTAAAATCCTTTAAAATCAGTTTGTTGATATCTACAAAATAACTTCCAGGGATTTTGATGAGTGTTACATGGGATCTGTACATGAAGTTGGGAAAGACTGACATCTCAACAATATTGAGTCTTCCCATCCATGAAGACATCCACTATCTCTCCATCTATTTAGTTCTTTGATTTCTTTCATCAGAGTTTTGTAGTTTTACTCATATAGATACTATACATATTTTGTTAGATTTATACATAAACATATTTCATTTTGGGGGGTGCTAATGTAAATGGTGTTGTGTTTTTAATTTCAAATTACAATTGTTCATTGCTCGTATATTGGAAAGAAGTTTGAATTTTGTACATTAACTTTATATCCTTCAATCTTACCATAAATGTTAATTAGTTGCAGAAGACTTTTTTGTCTATTCTTTGAGATTTTTTTTACTTAGACAATCTTGTCATTTGCAAACAAAGACAGATTTCTTTCTTGTATGTCTTCCTTTTCAACGGGTATACTTTTAATTTCATTTTTTCTGTCTAATTTCATTAGCTAGGACTTCCAGTATGATGCTGAAAAAAAAAAGAGGTGAGAAGAGACATCCTTAGTGGGACGGTTTCTGTTTTCTCACCACTAAGTAAGGTGTTAGCTGTAGGTTTTCATAAGTCTTCTTTATCAAGCTGAGGAAGTTCCCCTCTATTTCTGGTTTTCTGTTACACAATACAATTTTAATATAAAAAGCAGTACATAAAGTAGTGCACACAATACCATTCCTATTTTTGTGAAAAATGTTTTTTTTTTTTTTTTTTTGCATGGGGAAAAAATGTAGTCATTTTTGGCTGGATAACGGGTATTTTTTTTTTCTTCACATACTTTTATATTTTCCTAAATTTGCCCCAGTGGAAAATAACGTGAAAGGTGATTATTTAGTCTGGAGAGGATGGCTTTCTGGAAGGGAGTGGGGCAGACGGTGGGCGGAGGGAACAAAGAAATGATTAGAAGCTAAATAAAATGGAAATTTGTGAAGAGAGAGCTGATTAGGCAAGGACATCCTCAGTGAGATTGTAAGCTTTCTGAGGATCAGGCCTGACAGAGACCTACACAGCAGAATAAATCACTTCACTTTGTGTCTCAGCTTTGCATGTGAAATGCCATTTATTCATGAGGCATCCTGAGCATAGGGGCAGGTTTCTTTCTTTCCAGGGAGTTTTGCTGAGAGGAAGAAGGGTTGAAGGGGGAGATGGGGGGAGGGGGAGAAAGGGGGGAAAGGTTGAAGTACAGGACAAGTCAGAACCGAGGGGAGGAGGAGGAGCGCCCCAGCCCCAAGGTTGCGGGCGCAGCGCTCGGTGCGGGCTGGGGAGCGGGGCGCACACCCGGAGGCGGGACGTGGGCAGCAGCGCCCCCGCCTGGCTCCTGCGCGCGGGGACCGGACACCTCCCCGCCCGCCCAGGTGCTTCCAGAGCGCACAGCTGGGCGGGCTCTCCCGGCTCCGCGGCTCCCGCGCCCGCGGTGTGCTAGGGCGGCGGCGACGGTGCCAGGCGAGGGCGCGGCGCTGCCTCGGCTCCGGGTGCGCCGCTGCGAGCGCGTGGACCGGCCTGGAGTCGCCGGGCTGAGCCGCCGCTCCGGCACCGAGCCGCAAGCCGCGGAGGCGCTGGGGGACAGACCGCGCGGGTCTGTCCGCGCACGGGCGGCGCGGGGCAGCCGGAGTCGCGCGGCCCCTCGGCGGGCAGCGCACCCGCCTCTCTCCCGGTCCGCGGCTGCAGGGAGCTCGGGCCCGCGGCCCCTCCGCTTCAAGTCTGGGAGCTGCCGGCCCCACTCTGCTGCTGCCTATGGGGATCCGAGAGTTTCCCGGCGGCGCACCCAGGGGCAAGAGCATCGCCATGTGAGTAGCGCCCCGGGCGTGGGTGCGCGAGCGAGCAGGCGGGCGGGTGGCCCTAGCGCCTTGGTGGCCCTTTGCAGCTGGGACACCGGGCAGTCCGGGGCTCGGGGAGGGGTAGTGCGCGCGGCGGAGTGCTGGGGAAGTTTAAGTCATTCTGTCCCTTGCCACTCGCCGCAACCCACGCTGCCCCAGGCGCTCAGGGTAGGGAACGAACGGGAGGCTGCAGGCGCCACCGACGCCGAGACTGCCGAGGGCGCTGGGGTGGGTGGCGAGCGGCGGGAGCCGAGCGGCCCCGGCCCTGCTGCGCGCTCTGCCCTGGAGGACCCCGGCACCTTCGAATCTGCTGCTCACCGAAACCTCCCCTCTCTGCCCTTGTTCCCTGCCCACCCACCTGCCCGCGCCGCCTGCGGCCTCAGTGGCATGAGGAGGTCACCGGACGTCAGCCCCCGGAGACTGTCCGACATCAGCCCCCAGCTCCGGCAGCTCAAGTACTTGGTGGTGGACGAGGCGATCAAGGAGGATCTGAAATGGTCGCGCTCGGTGGAGGACCTCACCAGCGGGCCCGTGGGGCTCACGTCCATCGAGGAGCGGATCCTGCGCATCACTGGCTACTACGGCTACCAGCCCTGGGCGACGAGCTGCAAAAGTAAGACCCCCTCACGTCATTTCCCTCGCCCACTGGCCCGTCTGCTTAGCGTCGTCACGGCGGGGCCCGGGGGTGGGGTGGGGTGGGGGGAGCGCACGCTGCGAGGCGTCCACCCTCCTCCGCGCTCCTGCCCTGCCCGCTCGCACACACCCACCCAGCTTTGAGCAACTTCGGGGAAGAGGCCTGGAGCTGGAGTTCTCCTGGACCTCTGGGGCTTTCTGATCCATTCCACTGAACCCTTTCTGCTTCCATGCACACCTCTCTCTGTCCTTCTCCCTCCTCCCTCCCGAGGGAGGTGGCACAGTACGGGGCCCCTCCTGTGTGGCACACGGTGGGAGCAGATCAGAAACTCAAAAGTCTCCTGGGCTGTGCAGCTTCCTGCGGATCTGAGCGTGTTACAGGGCCCTGGGTGGGGGCTCAGCCGGCCCAGCTGGAGAACGCAGACTGGGGCGGCCTGGATTTTAACTCTTCCCTGTGCCTCCGAGCCCTGGTGATGCAGGGAAGTTCTTGGGGCCTTCATTTAGATCTCACTCGCTCTCTTGGCCTCTGGATTTTATTGATCCTCAGTGAGGAGATGCTATATGGATCATTTTAGATATTGGCATCAGTCCCTTGCAAGATGAATGGTGAAACGTTTCTTTGCTGGTGGACTCCTGCTGATGGCTTTGGTGATGTTGTGATCAGTTATACAGATGTGACCTATGTGACCAGTACCAATTTGGTTGACATTTCTTTCCACATTTTGGAAAAGAGAGATTGGTGACAACAAACTCCAGAGATCTGTAAATATAACCATAATTTGATGGTCTGATTACTATAGTTTGACATAAGAGATTGCTATTTACCATCTCAGCATAAAAAATCCGTCTTAACTTATTTCATTTGTATAGTAAAGACTAGCCTAAGAGCTTGATGCTTTTGAGATTTTTTTTTAACCACTTATTGCTTAAAATGGGAACATACTTTATTGGTCCTTAGGGGGGAAAATCAGGCTTGTGTAATTTAGTCATATCAATCACCAAAAATATGTCTATCTTTAGATTATTCCTAAAACCTCTGAGTCCAAGCCAAAGGTCAGTGGTATGCTAACAGTTAGCTGGTTAGTTTTAAGTTATTTGCAGGAAGAAACACAGAATTCGATTGTTTTGTTTTCATGCCCTGACTTGTTTTTTAAAAGTCTGCGGTGATTGCATTTAACTTGGTATAAACCTTTAAAAGATTATGCGTCTCCTTCAATCTCCTGCCTCTGCTGCTAAAATTATAGCTGATAAATACTGGCTTTAGATTATAGAAGGAAGACAAAGGCCCATGTTCTCTTTTTGAGTGAAAAACACAGGGCATAGGGTAACAAAAATTAAAATCCATTGGAAACCATTTTCCTTATGGGTATGGATAGGACACTCAGTTTTTATTCTGCTTCCTGAATTTCTATTACAAAATAGCAATTTTCCATTTCTTATTTCCATTTTCTGCCTTTTAAATAACTAAAGACAGTGGTACAAACTATAGCCTTCATGGAGCTGTCTCTTTAACCTCTGAAATCATAAAAAGATTTATCTTTATTATCCTATCTGTGACTGGCTCTGTGTGCTTTGTGGAAATTATCCACCAACATTTATGATTTCAAGGGTTGGCAGGGAGCTTACACTAGTGATAACTGGTTGGTACAAACATAGTTTGTAATTAACACAGAATGGCTATGTGGAAATAGAGTCCCTTACATCACCAGTGGCATTCTTAAATACCCTCTTTCTTCGGCTTCATTGAAAGAGTAAATATTAGCAGATGAGGCTACAGGGATCATTGTGATATTAATAAAATCAGCTCATTCCACTCTCTGCACTCCTGTGAGGATTCTTCTTTAATCCAAGGTATTTCCTTGTTACTAAAATGCTTTAGGTGACAACTGACATTTTGATGAATTAATTAGATTTTAAGTTTAAATTTAGAAAAGCTAATGTTTTATTAATGTAGCCACAGAGATTTTAGGGCAGCTCTTTTGTTGTTTGCCATTTCTACCCAATAAATGAAAAATAACAACGAGGCATATCTATCTATAGATATAAGTTAGTTACTTTGTTGGTTAGTAATTGCACTCAATAAACTGTGAAAGATGATGGCAACAAAATCATATTCTTCTCATGCTCTCCAGAGCAAGTTATGAGATGCTCCAAAATGTCACCTTTCAGCCATCTTTCAAAGTGACTTATCTAAGTCCCAACTGAAAGAGTTGCCTATGAGAGTTTCTAGAGTCTTTGAGAGATGTGAGTTAATTGTCTTTGAAGCAGCAGAAATCATTTGAACAACCAAGTATTCATTCCTATCCTCTTCATTTTTAGATTTTGTTTTAGGTTGTTAGATTTTGTTTTAGATTTTGGTTTGGGTTGTTAAATTAAATGAGATAATTGTGAACAGTGCAGAAATTACCTTTACTTAGTAGTTTCAACCCAATCAATGAAATTTACAAGTTTCACTCTAGGCAAGAGACTTTTTGTAACGATTTTTTTTTTTTTTTTAATGCCAATGGCCCCTGGGTCTGAGAAGAATGGTTACTATAGAATATTCAACTGAGAATTAAACCATAAACAAGTAGCTAGTAAGGGTCCAGTTCCTCTTCTCAGTGGCTGAAGTCCTCCAAGCTCTACATTTTATGTTTTTGAACCAGACCACTTGGTAGTATTCCTGGGGATTCCTTCAATTAATATGTGCGAGTGTATCCAGAGCCCAAAAAGGCACCTGGTCCACAGGAATTGCTCAATAAATATTTGTTGAATGAATGATTGCTGCCTGAAATATTGACCTCTCGGAGAGAGAACCTTTGAACTTACCTCTGTAGTGATTTGTGTCATTTAATTCTTTATGCTGACTTCCTGTGAGTTTAGGATGGCTTTTCCCCTTCCTGGTTCTTCCATCATAAGTGCTTTCTGAACCATCGACCAGACCAGAATTCTTGATGGTAAGCTTTGGTTTAGCCCCAGGTGAAACCAAAGCTTTCTCCATCTCAGCACCGTTGACACTTTGTACTGGATCATGTATTACTGTAGAGCAGTGGTCCCCAACCTTTTTGGCACCAGGGACCAGTTTCATGGAAGACAGGTTTTCCACAGTCCAGAGGAAGGGTGTGGGAGGATGGTTTGGGGATGATTCAAGCATATTACATTTATTGTGTACTTTATTTCTATTATTATTACATTGTAATATATAATGAAATAATTCTACAACTCACCATAATGTAGAATCATTGGGAGCCCTGAGCTTGTTTTTCTGCAACTAGACAGTCCCATCTGGAGGCGATGGGAGATAGTGACTGATCTGACAGGAGGTGGAGCTTAGGCGGTGATGCGAGTGATGGGGAGCAGCTATAAATACAGATGAAGCTGCTCTCGCTCACCTGCTGGCTGCTCACCTGCCGCTCTCCTGCTGCATGTCCCAGTTCCTAACAGGCCACAGACCAGTACTGGTCTTCAGCCTGGGGGCTGGGGACTGCAGCTGTTGAGGGCTGCCCTGCACATTGTAGGGTGTTTAGCTGCATGCCTGGCCTCTGCCTAGTAGATGTCAGTACCATACCATCCTGCCCCCCAAGTTGTGGCAGACACAATGTCCCCTGGAGATGGGGCATCTTTAGTTGAGACCCACTGATTTAACCTAAACTCCAAATCTGTGCTCCAAGTGACCTCTTCCCTGCCGCCCACTAGTGCTAAACAGGCAGGCCTGCCTTCTGAATTCCAGACCTTCTCCTCCCTTCTCCCGTCTTCCTGGACCACTCTGTAGGTTTCCATGATGGGCCAGAGTAGAATAAACACCACCACTGCTGGTGCAAGGGCCTGCTGAAGATTTGAAAGAGCCCGTTCCTTCAGCAGCTGGCATGCTTCCACAACCACTCGCCATGCATCTATGCATAAATTCAGAAGACTTGGATAGTTTTTCTTAATAACTTTCTTTCCCTCCCACCTTTTGCCCGAGTAGAAGAGAAATGACCACCTGGAATATCTTCTGCTGCTTCTTTCTTTTTCACTTCTCTGGTGTGGACATCAGTAGGGGAGGAGATGGCTATTTAAAGGAAAACGAGGATCAAAGAACAGCAATACCCATGTATAGGGTGGACAGCCAGCCCCAGGGCTCTGACGTGGTGCAGGAGCCAGCAGCATTTCCACACAGTGATGATCACAGCAGCCTATCTTGGAGACACAAGGAAAAGGCTCTGATGCAGCATGAAGGAGCATCTATACCTGCTTCTGTGTTTTCAGCCATTCCCTTAGCAAACCTTTTTGTGAGCATTCGTACTATATGCCAGAATACAGAGATAAGTGATGGAAGATGAAGCCCACTGCTTCATTAAGAAACACAGGCCAGAAAACACTGCATTGAAACAAATACATTAAGAGTGAGTATAGATACATTCAGGGTGAGCAGGATGTTTCACTTTCCAAAAGATCTCCCTAAAAGGTGTTTTCAAATAGTGAACTCTCAAACCCTTTTATAGGGTTTAAAAAAATACCAAACTTTTAGGAACAACTTTTTTTGGGAGGTAAGGTCATGCTTATTGCTTAAAATGAGGTGTCTTTTGAGTAGATTTATTAACACTACATCATGCTAGTATGTTGAGGTTAAAATGATTTTTTTTTCTTTAGGAATGCTGGTGGGTTGAGTTTTAAGTTATCTGTAGAGTGGAGGGAGGGTGAGTCCCAAAAGACTCCCCCATCTCTAGCCCACTCCAACCTGCTATTGGCAACACGAACCTGGTATGGGGAACGTGCAGGTTACCGAGCAAAGCCTAGCTTATCTGGGTGGAGGTTTTCTAGTTCAAGCTGAGAAAATGTAGGGCACCCAATAACACACCTGGTGACAAGGAAATTGCATGTTTCGGCATCCTCCAGGTTTACATGTTATAAAGGGCTTGTATGGGTAAGGGGGAGGGGTTCATGGGGACAGACTGTCTTCCTACTGTCCTTGTCATTTCAGGCTGAACTGTGAGTATAGGTTGCTGGCGTAGGTGCCAGTGCTAACTGGAACACTGGCTCATAGTGTCACTGAATTCATGGTGAGCAACTTCTGTTTGATCCTCCCAAAATAGGAAAGGTCAGGTCAGCAATTCAAAAATGGCCCACTTGTAAGAGATTTATAATTTGGTTGTAAAAGTGTATCCTAGAATGGAGCTTGGCATATGAAATACGAGATGAAAAAGATTTTAAAAGCAAAATGTTGGAGGGTTGTGGGTGGGTGGGGGTAAGCCTTAGAGCTCAACATTTTCTAATGTGTCAGAGAGTAAAGTTTTATTCCTGAATATAAATACATGCTCACAATTTAGTAAATAGTTTCTGAGTTTTGACAGAATGAAAATGCAGAACTGTTGTTAACTTTCACTCAGATCATTGCCATGGGGTTATAAACCCTTCGCATCCGGCTGTGAAGGGCTAGGGGTTTCACCTCCAGGGAAGCAAAGTCTTCCGGGCTTTAAAAGAGGCATGGGCAAGGAGATTTCCCGTTTTCCTTCAGAAGTCTGTCCTGGGTTTCCTTACAAAGTGCCTAGTCTAAAACACTCTAGCCGTGATCATTGGTCCTTTCCTTAAGCATCTAGAAAAATGCAGGTTGGTTGCATTCAAACATTAATCCATATGTGTCTGAACCACTGAACTTTGTTAAGCCTTTTGCTGACAGCTGTTAGGGATGCTCGTTTGAATTGCAGCCCTGCATCCCAGCGGGGAGGGGGAGAGTGGCAGGGTATTTCTTTAACTTCAGGAGGAACTGAGGAAATGGACTGGCGGGGAGTTGCATTCACACCCCAGCTTCACTTCTTCGTAGCTATATGACTGGTTACTTCTAAGAGCCTCTAGTTTCTCATCTGTAAAATGGGGATAATAAAACTACTTTCCGGGATTGTCACAAGGACGAAGTAAAATACAGTAGTTCCCCCTTATCTGAGGGGGATGCATCCCAAGACCCCCGGTGGATGCTTGAAACTGAGGAAAGTGCTGAACTTCCTGTACACTATGATTTTTTCCTTTACAGGCATAGGGAAGTAGCACGGACAGCATGTATACACTGGGCAAAGGGATGATTTATATCCAAGGCAGGGTGGAGCAGGATGGCATGAGATTTCATCATGCTACTCAAAACAGCATGCAACGTACGACTTATGAATTGTTTATTTCTAGAATTTTCCATTTAATATTTTCAGATCTCGGTGGATAACTGTGGATAAAAGAAACCATGGAAAGCGAAACCGTGGATAAGGGGGGACTACTGTAATGTCTGTGCAGCATCCAGCTTGCGCCTGGTGTCTGTTAACGCACTTTATTTTCATTCATTCATTTAGCAAACTTTTTGAGCATGGACTATGTGCCATCACACAGAGATAAGTGATGAGCGGCACAGTCCTTGCCCTAAAACCTGACCGGCCAGAGCGAGTGAAATCCGAAGTGCTTATAGGATGTGGTGAAGACTGACTTAGAGTGCTGCTAGAGCTCTTTCTCACTGAAGTGCATCCCTTCTGAAGCTGGAGGAGTCATTCCCCCGCAGGAAGTGGGCGGAGGGGAGGTTTGCATTTCAGGCAAAGGGCAGTATGTGCACAGAAATGTATGTAAGTTATCACTAGAGGGTAATTTGGCTGGACTGTAGAAGATTAAGTTGGATTTCGGAGCTGAAACACACTCCTGTACCTTATGTTGCAGTCTTCTGATGCTTGTCACCTTCCTCATCCAGGTCCCAGCGCCAGTGTCGCCTCCTCCGGGGAGCCTCCCCTAATCAGGTGAGGTGCCCTTGCCGGGTGCTCCTGTGGTATTGTCACTTCTCATAAGTACCATCCAGGCTAGTGTAAGAGTGAGCACACAGAGAGCTCTGCAAGGGCAAGGCTCATCGCTGTGTCTGCAGCCCTCACTGTGTGGTCTTGGCACATGGGAATAACCGTGGAGAGTCTGTCCCCAGGGCACAGAGTATCTCTGACACCTCAATCAATATGCATTTGTTAAATGCATTAATGAAAGACTATTTTCTCTCTCTCTCACACACACACACAGATACACACACATGCACATACACACCCACAAATGGTTTCTAAGCATATACATTTCTGTGGGGCCTTCCAGAATTATGCTGCATAGACCATTTCTGATTTCCTTCCTCGGTCAAGAAATGGGACTCCCATGGTCGCATCTCCTCAGTGTTCCCCTAACTCAGCTAAAAGCACCGACAAGCACTCTCCCTCCTGTAGCTTACATAGCCAGTCTTGCATCAGGGTGGTTTATCCAGTTTTGATAACCTTACTTTAAAAATGATATGGAAAAAAATGAACATGGACTTGGGAAAAAGAGAAAATATATAGACGGAATCAAACATGTGTTCTACAGGCAGTCTTAAAGTACTGGGGGGAAGAGGAAATAAGTAAAAACAAATGACATATCTTCATGAGAGCTATCAGAGCAGACACCTTTTGGAATGTCTTTCTACCTCAACAATGACCCTTAACTGCCCCGCACTATGTCCTCAGTTTGGGTCCTTAGCAGTCAGACTGGCATCTTCTTCCTCCAGGGCACCATAGATTAGACCAGTGGTAAACTCCTGATCTATACAAATTTGGTCTCTCTTCTCAAATTTGAGATTGACACCAGGAGACTGGAGTCTAGTCTGGAGTGGTCCCTTGAGTGGGAGAGATGCTATGAGGGTTCTATTCTGTCTTCCATGTGGATGGAGAAGCAGAGGAAGCTAGTTTATGCGGAGAGAAGACGGCAGGTGTGTAAAGTAACCCAGAGAGGGTCTGGCGGCTTCCAGGACTCTAAGCTCCATTCTATTTCCCTCCTAGACCAAGGTCTTGCTGTAGCTCCTCCTCCAAGTCCCCTAGACACCGCAGTTGCAATCCAACAGTCCTCTTCCGCTAAGTGAGCAGAAGCTGGGTTTTGTTCTATGCAACTACAGACTCCTATTTGGGTGAGATCTCTGAGCCATTTCTACTCAGTTGCATGTAGGACAAAACAAGGATTTACATACCAAAGAATTCCCAACTGGAAATAAGAAATTGCTTCCTGGCTGCTGAGATACTAAAGAAGGTCATGGAGCCTCCGTCCCTGGAGAGCTTCAGAAAGATGTGGACACCCAGTCATCTTAGCCAGATTGAGTATTTACTTTGTTCCATGGCAGAGAGAGGAACTCGATTTTTTTTTTTTAATGATGTCTTCTGGTTCAATGCAGTGGTGAGTGTGCTTTGATCAATAGAGCAAGTGACCAGTTTTATTTCATTATCTCATTGCAGAGCCTAGAAAGGGCCTTGAGCAGTTAGAAACCTGGGAAAGTCTTTAGGTGGGTGATGTTGGCAAGCCCTAGAACAATTACCTATGACACGGGTATACATTTTTCTCTTGTGCACCTTGAAGTAGCCTTAATTTATGACAGCATCTGAGATTGGAAGAAATAAATCGCTGCACTCAGGTGATTAGTAGCGCTGAGGGCTCGAGGCTGTTTTAGACTCCCGGGACAGAGATGTTCAACGTAACTTCTCAGAACAGTTTTCTGGTTTTGACAAATGCTTTCTGTGACATTCACATTTTCTCCTCGTCAATCTGCTATGTGTCATCTCCAGTACGAGACTAGATCAGAATCTATCAGGAAATTCTTTTTATCCTTCTTCACCATCTACTTATTATAATGCGATGTTATAAAAATCTGGATCCGTCCTCAAAGGTTTATTCAAAAGGGTCATAAGAGAGATGTTTCTTAGCATGTGTTGACTTTCCTTCCTTATTTTCCTTATTAGAAATTGAGTTGGCTCATTTTTGATGAAAGTATATTAAAATGTCCTCTTCTTTAAAAAAGGGATATAATTAGCATGGCACATACAGCACAGTTGAGTTTTGGGCAACATTCAGCTCATGCCTTGCACATGAAGGAGTTTAATAAGCATTTTTCTTTTGTTTCCAATCATCTGATTTTCACAAACATTTTTTTGAAGTACGTTACACTGGTGTGCAATACCAAGGAAGCACTGGAAGTATCTTCCTCTATATTTTTTTTTCTTTAAAGAATTTGTCAAATAAACAGTTTGAAAAATATTTCAATTCCATAATCCAGAATAACCAATTTTGAGGGTTTATCTAAGCTTTTTTTTGTTTTACTGTGTCAGCATTTTGTTTCATTAAATATTAAATTTAAAAATCTTATATAGGTTTATCTGATATAGCAGTGGTTATGTTTTCAAAGTTACATGTAAATAGAATATATGTAATCACAAGTCATTTTTAAAAACGCCCAGAAAACATGGTGCTAGTGGATGCGTAAACATGTTTGTTCTGTCTGTAACTGACATTGTATCTGGTGATTATCTCACAGGCCATTGAGGAGTTTCAGTGTGCAGGTGGAAAACAGAGAAGGAGCACTTTTCAACCTGGCCCACCAGCCCAGGTGTCCCTCTTGAAAAGCCCACCGTGGGCCAGGCAGGGGCTTCCGAAAATCACTGCCTGAAATTCCAGACACTAATCATGGAGGGATTCATTGCAGATGGTGTGAAAGCAAATGAAACAATGGAACCTACTGTTGAATGCATATTCATTTATTCACTAATCTGTCCATTGAATCATTCATTTTTCATTCCTCCATTCAATCATCAAATAGTTCACTGCCTCGACAGATCAGTAAATACGTTCACTGCTAAGGTAAACATTTAGTGAATAGATGGCATAGTTGCTATATCTAAAACATACACACGTAATACAAGACTATAATAAGACATACATATACAAGACCATAAAGCTATCAATCCATAAGTTGAATTGGCTCCAAGCCATACTCTCCTTGTCTTGGAGCTATCTAACAGGTATACCACATGTCTCTTTTTGGGCCTTCTATTACTAAATATCTTGGGAGTATTTTGGAGCAATGTTGACCAGCCTTAAACTAAGCCCTATATTGCATACATAATATTGTGTAATATTTTATTGTAGGGTACCATAAGCAGCTGGTTAGCTACAGGAAAGGGTAGTTCCTTAGGGGACTTCTTTTTCTCTTCCTCTGGAAACTTGAGCTCTGCTGCCAGTTTGATCAGAGTTCTAATTTGTTCATTTGACGTATCTCAGCCATTAAACTTTTTTTTTTTTCTCTTTCACTAAATCATGCAACAACCAAGATTTTTGACTGGGTTGATGAGATTAAGTGACTAAGCCAGCACATTTCTCCCCTAATGTTTTATGCTGCAGGCATTCTGCTTCTTTCCAGCTCTAAAGAAAGCTAGCCTGAGACGTTTTCCTTCCTCTAACTAGGGGCCTTGCAGAAATAACATGGACTCGAATTTCAAGGAGTTGGGATGTGCTCTCGGCTCTACCTGTTCTCTCCCGCACCGCTGCACATTATGTTTGTTCAATTTCTCCAGTTCCTTTAGGAGAAAATTCCCCAATTCATAGAAATGAGCTTGTAAAGCTATTCTCTCGGCTGTTCTGCTTAAGAATGATAGCGCTTCCAGTTCATACAGACATGAAGGAAGTGGTGTTTGTGAGGGGCGGTCTTGGGTTTCATACGTTCATAAAAATCAGAACGTCCTGGTTAACGTGACTGTTACTTTGCATAACGTCGAGAGTGGTAAGACCTGCATATGTGGTTGCACTGACCACTCACGGATGTGGTTGAGCTAATACCGGATGAGGCTGAGTAGCTGCAGGACGTAATTCCATGGGCTCCTCTCTTCTGACTTGCTGCCTCTTTGCTTGATGACCACCTTTTCTTTGTGCTGAGCACATGGAAGTCCAAGCCCCAGGGAAGGTTGTGCCTCTCTGGCTCTTAATGGTCAGCAGGTGGCCTTAGGGTCATTTGAATCAATCTCCAGGGTCATGTTCTGGATTTCTCACTGGTTTTCTAGCTGGTGTCTCACTGGTGTCTTCTCCATAGGGAAGGAGGTGGCTTAGGCAGCCAGAATCCCTTGGCCACCTTGTGCTTGAGAAGATGGCAGGGGTGAAAAGATAATAGCTAATTTCCAGTGGCTCGGATGTCTTGCCCAAGGCCCGAGCAGTGCACTGGGACTGCCTCATTTCTACATGGAGGTAGCTGTGTTGCTTTGGGGGAATCATAGCTATAAAAGACCTGTTAAGGGCAATTGGGAAAATTTGAAGATCTGCTGCTTATTAAGTTAGTTTATGGGGTATTGTTATTTTTCTTGGGATTAATAGCATTAGTGTGGTTACGTAGGAGAGAAGGTCCTTATTCTTAAGAGATGCTGAGGTATTTAGGGATTAAGTGTCATTATGTCTGTAATGTACTTTGAGGTAGTTCAACAAAAACAAGTATAGACAAATAAAATGACTGATGAACGAAATGTGACAAAATTGTAATATTGGGTGACTCTAAATAATAGATCTATGGGCATTCATGTCCATTTTGTCAGTCTTTCTGTAAATATGAACATTTTCAAAATAAAAAATGTCATTGTTACAGCTAATGGCATAGCATAATTCAGGTTTGAAAGGGAAGTACTGTGTCTATTTAGATCAGTAATTATTACATCAGAATTTAGCCAAAAAGCAGGGAGAAGGGCACTCGAACCCTGACAAGTTGTCCCGAGGGAAGGTGGAAGTTCTTTAGCACAGAGAGCAGTACTTGCTGGCTGTAGCCACACACGGCGCCATGTTGCAGACAGGACCGTGCCCTGCGACAGCATCTGCCCTGCTTATCTTCCCCACCCCTTAGCCACATCCCTCAAGCATGTTCATTGGTGTGTGGTGACATGTCTCAGGCTCCAGAATTCCTTTGATGAAGGAGATCTATTTTTGCAGAGATTTAGACATGTGGTCCATTTCGCTAAATGGTTTGACTTTATACCCTTTAAAATAAAAATAGGTCTGGATTTTGGGGACCACTCACCTTGCCTGAGAGTGGACAGGCACAGGTAGCATAGCCTCTCCGTCTGCAAAACAGACTGCTTTTAAAGGATTCATTGGCCTGTGATGCAGGTTGGGTTTCAATATTTGGAAGTTGCTCTATCACTGCTCCCTGGAGAAGGATGGGCTGGTAGCAAGAGAGAAAGAATCAGATGGGCTTCCAGGTCTCCTTCCTCACTCTGCGCTCAGGCCTCGGAGGATTAAGAATGTTCCTTTACCTTTAGCTGCCTAGAACCTTTGGGTGAATTATCTCTGAGGGCATTGCTATGGCTGTTTGTGATTAGTGACTTGAAGGAACATAGTAATGAAGAGATCACACGGGGGTTCAAGCAGAGATAATATTACTTTTGTCTCAAGGTGAATATGTGAGAATTGGAGGTAATGTTATAAGTTATGGTGTTTCCCTTGTTAAAGGGGAAGATCTGCTTCTTAAGACTAATCTGCAAGGGAACAGAGAAAGCAGACATGCTACAGTGTTCGAGAGCAAGTATTCATTGAACTGGGAGTGGGAACAATTGATTGGTTGCAGAATGAAGTATGCACAAGGTCAGAGAAAGGAGTGTTGAGTGGAAGGCAAGAGTGGAGTTTGAATTTCAAACAGTGTTTGTGAGAGGACGCTGGCCCTGGAGGAGAGATGACAACTACTTTATAAAGCTGCCATGAGCATGTTTGTAGCTGAGATGAACATAAGTACTCATTTCTGGATATACACCCAGGAGTAGGATTTCAGAGTTGTAATGTCATGGTAGACTGAGTCTAAGGCGAGCTCCGTGTCTCCCCTCTGTTGTTCATGCCCTCGAATACTCCCTTCCTCTTGAGTGTAGGTGGGACTTGTGACTAGCTTCTAACCAACAGAATATGGCACGTGATAGGATATCACTTCTGGGATTATGTTCTATTGCATGAGGTTCCATCTGGCTAGCAAGACTCACATCAAATCTTCTCTCTTCCTCACCAGCCTTGAGGAATCAATGGTCATGTTGGGACTCCCACGTGGCAAGGAATTGCAGGTGGTCTTTAAGAGTTGAGGGTAGCAACTGGCTTATTGGCTGGATGGGACTAGCCCTGGCCCACTTCTTGTTTTGAGCTTTGCGATATCCTAAACAGAGGGCCAGCTATGCTGTACGCAGGCCTCTGACTCACTGTGAGATAACAAATATGTCTTATGTGCTGTCACTAGGTTTGTGATAATTTGTTACTTAGCAATAGATAACTTAATACAAGATGAGTCAGTCCAGGATTCAATTAGAGAAACATAACTACTAAGATAATACAGAACTCAACCAAAACGCCTTTTTTTCCAGGTTAAGTGGCTTCTAATTCAATAAAATTTGAGGAGGAAATTATTAAACCATTAAAAATAAAATTTTATAATAGGGTGCTATCTGATTTGTAATAGATTTTTTTAGAGCCGTTTTAAGGTCATAGCAGGATCTTAAAGATCTTGAGAAGAAAGGACAGAGATTTCCCATATGCCTCCAAGCCCCACCCCTGCGTACGAATAGCCTCCCCAATTACCAACATGCCCCTCCCTCTCAGAGTGGTACATGTGTTGCAAGTGATGAACCTGCGTTGACACTGTCATCACCCAGAGTGTGTAGTTTACATTGGAGTTCATTCTTGGTGTTGTATGTTCATTCTATGGGTTTGGACCAGGCGTCCTCAAACTATGGCCCACGGGCCACATGCAGGTGTTTTTGCCCATTTGTTTTTTATTTCAAAATAAGATATGTGCAGTGTGCATAGGAATTTGTTCATAGTGTTTTTAAAACTATAGTCTGGCTCTCTAACGGTCTGAGGGATAGTGAACTGGCCCCTTGTTTAAAAAGTGTGAGGACCCCTGGTTTGGACAAATGTGTAATGTCATGTATCCATTATTATAGTGTCTTAGAGACTAGGTTGCCCTGCCCTAAAAATCCCCTGTATTCCACCTACCATGTTTCCCCGAAAATAAGACCTTCCCATAAAATAAGCCCTAGCAGGATTTCTAAGCATTTGTGCAATGGAAGCCCTACCCTGAAAATAAGCCCTAGTGCTGGGCGTGGCTATGCAGCGTGTCTGCACAACCCATGCATTTCATCGCAGAGCAGTAAAGAAGACGAACAGCCTTTCTCATCTGCCTCATCATGACAGCTACTATCCCAGAGGTGACCGGAAAGGTGCGGGCAGCCCCACCAACAAGGTCGGCTCCTGCTGTCAGGTCCGCCAGTCCTGTGCGGGCTGCAGAGGAAGGGTTTTGAGGAAAAGTAACACATCCTGAAATCAAGCCCGTAGGCGCTGTCGTCTTGAGAAAATAAATATAAGAGACCTGTCTTCAGGAAACACAGTAGTCACTCACTGGCAACCACTAATCTTTTTACTGTTTCCATAGCTTTGCCTTTTCCAGAAGGCCATATAGTCGGGACATATAGTATGCATGCTTTTCAAATTGGTTTCTTTCACTTAGTTATATGCATTTAAGTTTCCTTCATGTCTTGAGAGCTCATTTCATTTTAGCATTGAACAGTATTCTATTGTCCGGATGTATCACAGGTTTATCCATTCACCCCTGAAGAAATGATTGTAGTTGCTTCCGACTCTTCAGCAGTTTGTGAATAAAGCTTCTGTTTAGGTTTAAATGTGGGATATTTTTTTTGAGTACAGAAGCTTTCGACTCCTTTGTGTAAATACCAAAGAGTGTGATTGCTGGATTGATCACTGTGTAATTTTTGATATGAAGTTGGGAATGAGTTTAACACATTGAGTAATAGTCCTATAAGAGAATTCCTTACATTTGCATCATCTAATTTACTTGAAAATGTTTTTTTTTAAGTAAAATAAATTACTGTTAAAAAAGTAAAAATAGAATTGATACTAAACCCTTTCTCATTCTAGCAGTAATATTCATGGATGAAACATGACTGACTGTAAAAATGCCAGCATGTCTATTTCATTAAGATATGCGGTGTCTAATATCTTATTTATGTTAAATACATATCAAAATTGTGAGATGTTTACATAATTTTGATTTTTAAATTCTAATAAACACTGAAATGGTTACCCAATTCAGAAGACATTTTTGAATACCCAAAAGACTTATGGCCACAGGAAATAAAAAAGCTAAATTTGTATTCCTGTTTTTTTGTCTCCCAGCAGTGTGATCAATAGGAATTATGCTTCATAAAGAAGTATACAGGGAATGGTATAAAATTGCTTACTGTTAAAGAAAATTATTATTTATGCATTTTAAAATAGGTGATTGTTAATATCAAATCATTATGGTAGTTAGAGTCTTCAAATACATTTAAAAAATAAAGTAGCAGCTTATTGTAAAATGTAATTTTACAAATCTGAGAGTTAATCCTCAACTTCAAAATTTATGATGAAAAAAATTAAAAATTAATGAAAACATTAAAAAGATATCCATTTTTTTTCAAAAGTTTTTAATAGAGGTATAGAAATAAAATTATGTGAAGACCTCTAATAATCACCTCCACCTTTTTTGTTCTTGGCACTGTAAATCTTTGGCACAGGCTCTAGCATTCTGCGTGCGAACATGCTGCCAGCAGATAGCAAGTAATGGTGACAATAACAGAAGTCTAGTCAACCCACGTGGGGAGTTCTGTAAAGCCTGGGAGAAATGTGATAATTTCCTGAGCACTGGGGTCAGACTATGGGTCCCATAATGAAGATGTTATCAGATAGCTTTTTTTTTTTTTTGAGTCAAAGTCTCACTTCTTGCCTAGGCTGAGTGCCAATCGCGCCAGCTAGCTCACGCAACCTCAAACTCCTGGCTCAAGCAATCCTCCTGCCCCAGCCTCCCCGAAGTACTGCAATACAGGATAAGCCACCATGCCTGGCAATTTTTCTCTCCCTATAACTGTTTAGTTGGCCATAATTCTTTCTTATTTATAGAGAGATGCGTCTCGCTCCCTGCGCAGGCTGGTTTCGAAGCTGCCTGACCGTTGAGCGATCCCACCTGCCTCGGCTCCCAGAGCTAGGAGTACAGGCGTGAGCCACTGCGCCCGCCTCAGATAGCTTTTTAGAAGAAAAATCAGGACATCACCTGAATGCATAGGTTACTGTCTCTCCCTTTCCTTTACCATCAAATAATAATAATAGTGCTAACCTGCAGTTTAACACATAACCTAAATGTGCTAAGAGAAAACATAGTAGGGTGACTAAGGTTATGGACTTTTGTCAGCTGTTGCTGAGTTTCAAGCCTACTGCCTGCTCACTGTTAAAGCTTGAGAGAAACTAGTCATCCTTTCTGAACCTATTTTCCATAAAATTACAGTTCCACTGCATAGGGTTGTTGAGCAGATTGTGAGATAATGCATGGGAAAGGTTGAGTACAGGTCCTGGTGTTTGGAAGGTGGATGATTAATGATGGCATTGATTATTATTAGATTGTTATTGTTGAAAATCTTCACATACAAAAGGAATCTTATGAAAGGGATTCATTATGGGACCCTTTTAAAGAAAAAGCTTCTCTGCTACATTTTAAATATAATTTAACTCTCAAAAGCAAGTCATGGTGGTACAGTTGTATCAGTGAACTGTTACTGTGTAATGTTTCATTGCAAATTATCCTGGTCTTGATCACTATACCTTGTATGTGTCAAAACAGCACTCTGCAGCCGGTGAACATGTGTAATTATTGTCAACTTAAAAATGGGATTCAATTAAAAAATGAAGTCTCAGTGGCTTACAGAAATAAGCATTTCTTCATTTGCTCACTGGTCTGCAGGTCGTGTTGGGCTGATCTAGACTGGGCTTAGCGCGGCAATCCTGCTTCAGGCTGGGGGTCAGCAGGGCTCGGCCCCAGGCTTTGGTTACACTCGGGAAGGCTGAACGGGGCAGTGGAGATCAGGAACGTGTTCTCATGGTGGATAACAAGAGTGAGCCCAGCTGCATAAACATTTCAAGCCTGTGTTCTCCTTATGCCTATTAATATAGAGTTGGCCTAAATAAGTGGCATGGCCAAGGCCAAGTCAAGGGGCAGAGCAGCACACCGCCCAGAACAAGGCCATGAGAATGTGCAGATGTAAAAGGGGAGTGAAGAATTGGCCCACTACATACAGTCTATCCCAGGGTAAAGAAACAGAATGAGGCAATAGGGCACACCTGAATTCCTGTCTTGGTGCTGCCAGCTGGTATTATTACTAACCGATATTATGGTCCACCGAGTCTTTTATCCAGCATGGTCACCATTACCTTTTATGTGCAGTGAAGGGGTTTGGCCAGATGACATCTGCAATCTCTTCCAGCACTAAAACTTTAATGAGTCTAAAGTTTACTCACAACATCCCAGGAAATCATCTATTCTGTAAATGAGAGTAAATAGTAAATCATCTATTCTGTAAATTTGAGAAGACTAAAAAAACTTGTATCCTATCCAGACAATTAGCCAAATGTGAATCACCTCTGCAGTTTCCCATACTAAATCACTGGAAAGGGACGCACATGCATAAAAGAGTTCCTTTTTATTTCACCTCCCCTTTCCCTGCCATTGCATTTAGCACGTTGACCAAAAATATATTGACTAAATCTCCTTTGATTAATTTAATCCTTTGAACACTACAACATTGTGGATTTAGTGTTTGCATTTCAAAGCTTTGAACCTAGGAGACATAACTGTTTGGATTTCTAATGCAGCCCTTAGCATGAGAATTTCTGTTGGGCCAGTAGCACCTGGTTCTGGGGTGACACCTCACAGAGAGCAGACAAAACAGAAGGGTCAACCTGGAGACCAACTCTGGTTTTCACTGGTTTGTTTACCTGCGACGACTACAGGGTTTAGAATAAGTTTCTTAAAAAAGAGGTTGTAGCACTACTGTAGCCAGTTGAAAACTCATCGGGGAGTTTGTGGCCAGCAGCTCTGTAGAGATGGTGCTAGGAGAATAAATCCAGCTGAGACCTATTCCTGGAGGTGAGGGAGAAAATAGAAATAGAGAAACTTGGAAAGGTTGTTGAGAGGAGCAGCTTCTGGAAGTTGCCCCTTTGAGAACAATTGATAAGGGAAGCTACTGCACCCCCAGACATTGAGTTCTTCATTCCATTTAGGATCACTGGACATTCCTAAAAGCACAAGAGTTGTCGCTGGGAAGGACTGCGCTGTTCTCAGACTTCATCCTTCTCTGCTGTTGCAGCCTGAGTCTCCCTTGATATCTTGGGGAAAGATAGCTATGTCTAGTCTTTTAATTTTCCTTCTCATTGCAAAGAGGTGCTGTAATTTCCCACCTGGCAACCTCCAGATGTTAGAAGGTAGGATGGCGATTATTGAACAGCTCATTCATAGAGCTTTGTATTCTTGTGCGGTTCTCAGAGTCCCACTGAAGTGAGTGAGCTTTGTAAAAAGGGATTACTCCAACATGCTAGAGTTGCCCCTTGAACAAATCGGGGCTTTGGGGCACTGACCTCCCTCATAGTCAAAAATCAACATATAACTTTTGAGAGTTTTGAAAAATTGTTTTAATGTTATAAAATAAATCATAAAGAAGAGAAGCTATATTTTTTTGTTCATTAAGTGGAAGTGGATGATCCTAAAGGTCTTCATCCTTGTCATCTTCATGATGAGTAGGCGGAGGAGGAGGAGAAAAATGAGGGGGTGGTCTTGCTGTCTCAGGGGTGGCAGAGGCAGAAGAAAATCTGCATATAAGTGGACCCACATGGTTCAAATCCGTGTTGTTCAATGGCTGACTGTA